CTGGACTCCCACGTAGTTGACCGCGGTTCGTGTCCCGGACCCGGTGGCTTAAAACTCACGCTGAGCGCATGTGCGTGCGTGCCCAAGATCCCGAGAGGAGAATGAAGAAGAAGGGATTGCGGCGTGACCATCCCCCCTGGGGGGTGATTTCTCGCTTTCTGTCTCTGTCTCTCTCTGTCTGTCTGGCGAGCGCATGCGCCCTACAGTGAAAATCTCTCCAAAAAAAAAAAGCTTCCTCCATGGCAGTGGTAGCCGCCCTTCCTTCTCTGTGCCCCGTACCCCTAAGTCCACTCTGCCAGGTCTTCACGTCACTTCGTGTCCTAGTTGTTTTTCCATACGCCTTGTCAATGCCCCACTTACACGGACTCCCGGAACGAGACCGCGCTCCCAAGGGCAGCCTGAGCAACATGGAATGAAGCAGACATTTCTCCGGACGGCAGATCACTCAGCCTGTCCTTCGTGAAGCGTTTACCGAAACCCTTCCAGGCCAGCCTACGTAGCACAGCTGGGACACAACGCTCCACGGTGTTGAGGCCACACGGGAAGGTCCTGGGTTCACAACCTGAGGTTCCCTGTGTGGGCAGGCGTGCACATGTGCCGGTGATCCTGGCTGGCCGAGGGGGTAAGAGCAGGCCGTGAAGGCCCTGTGGGGGAGCCCTACCTCTCTGCATCCCCCACTTGTGGGAGAAATAAATGAAAAAGCCAAAGGGGAAAAAAAAAATCCTTCCAAAGGCCCCAGGGCATGCCAGCGATCACAGGGTCACCAGAAGGGAAGACGGAGTCCTGGTACCCAACAGTTCACCACCTATGGAGGGCACCCAAGAGATCCCCACAAAGTTAAATGACAGAACGGCTAACTGCTCACCCGAGCCAGACCGAGCACGGACGTGGGTGACCCTGCAGGTATGGGCAGGTGACCCCTCTGGATGTGGGCGGGTGACCCCTGCGGCTGTGGGCGGGTGACCCCTGCGGGTGTGGACCGGTGACCCAAGTGGGTGTGGGCAGGTGACCCCTGTGGGTGTGGGTGGGTAACCCCTCTGAGTGTGGGTCGGTAACCCCTCTGGATGTGGGTGGGTGACAATCCCTGCGAGTGTGGGTGGGTTACCCCTGCGGCTGTGGGCGGGTGACCCCTGTGGGTGTGGGTAGGAATCACAGGAAGGAGTCCGCACCCCCCAAACACAGAGGAGGCTTAGGAGGAAAGTGCCTGTTTAGAAACCAGGCAGGGGAGGGACCAACAGTTAGCCTAACGTCTATGTCGCTGGACTCCCATGCAGTTGACCACAGTTCGAGTCCTGGATCCGGTGGCTTAAACCCACACTGGACGCGTGTGCGTGCGTGCCCAAGATCCCAAGAGGAGAATGGAGGAGACGGGATTGCGGCGTGGCCATCCCCCCTGAGGGGTGATTTCTTGCTTTCTGTCTCTCTGTCTCTGTCTGTCTGTCGAGCACACATGCCCTATAGCGAAAACCTCTCCAAAAGAAACCAGGCAGTGGAGGGGGTGGCCCTCTGCCCCCCTTTATCTCTTTCTCATTCCCGTTCCAGGTTCCCTGTGAAGGACCCAGAACCGTCTCCCCATACACTGTCCCCCCAGATCATCTCGGGGGCAGGAGAAGACACTGGCCCAGGAGGCGGGCAGGAGGAGGAGCTGGTGACCATGCACAGACTCTGCCGAGGAAGGGCGGCTGTGGGAGCCGCACAGCCACAGAAATGCTGGAACCGGGGCGCGAAAGGCGGTCAGAGATGGCTTTGCTGGACCTCGAAGCAAGGGAGGACGTCCCCAGTGGTCCCTCAGCAAATGCTTGAGTTGTGAGAGAATGGCTAGGGGTGGTAGTGAGGCTGCCCGGGGCAGGGCCTGGCTGCGTGGAAGGGCTGTGGGAGAGCAAGGGTGCACTCCGTGAGGACGGGGAACCGGTGAGCAGCAGCTGTCGTTCCCCCACAGCCCACTCACCAGCCACCAGGAGAGACAGCAAGTTCCGGCCCAAGACTGGGACGCAGAAAGTTCACGATGTGCCCTGCACTCACTCACACACGCGCACACGCAGGGACTCACTCGCGCACACACACACATGCAGGCACACACTCACACACGTACACACGGGCACGCACACACGCTGGCACATCTGTAGACACGCAGCCTAGAAGGTTTTTGTCCTCCCTAGCCCTGTGCTGATACATCTTTGTCCCTTTTCTGGCCTTGTGCTAGAAGGCTATCCTCCCTCCTGGGATGGGGCCTGGGCCAGTCCCTCAGCCCTGCCCCTGCCTGGGCCACCTCCATCTCCTCCCCCAGGCCAGAGGCCCTCCTTCTTGGGAGGAGCACCTCAGCTCTGCTCTCAGGGCTGCAAAGCCAGCAGCTGCACTAGGACTGAGTCTCCTTTTTGGAGTGACCAGAGTGTTGGCCCCTGCCCAGACTCGCCTCTGCTACGACTCCTACTTAGGAGGGTAAATCTTCTCCCCCTGCCCCCAGCCCCAGGGCCCCCTCCTGATTTTCTCCCAGAAACACAGGACCAGAGTATTGTCTGTACTCTCACCTCACCACTCCCTGGTCTCCTGAAGACCCTCTGAAGGCAGGGGCTGTGTCTTGAGTATTCAGTCTCTCCTCGTCCACACGCCGCACACAGTAGGTGCCTTATCATGCCTCTGCAGTGCACTGAGCTTTTCGGGGATTACTCCATGTGTTCTTGCACAGTAATTACATTTTACCGTGAGGGTAATCTTTCATGAGAAAACTACTGATCTCTGTTCTGTTTGAGACCAACCTGAATGTAATAAACTGCAGCGAATTTTATAAAGTGCTCTTTGTCTGAGAATGTTGATACAAAGAATTCAACTTGCGCACAGGATGCAAATGCGTAAGTGGCCAACTATTTTCCATCATGTTCCTTAAATAGCTGGCAGCTGGCACGTGCTCTTCTTGGCGCTCCCCGCCCTCCGGCACCGCGGGCTGAGAGTACACCCAGGCAGCTAACCCGCCCTCCGGCATGGTGGCAGTCGTCCGCGCCCGCCTACTGCAGAGAGACCTGCCGGGATTCTCTCAGAAAAGTCTTGAGAGTGTCGTCCAGCAGAACAGAAACGCCGATGATACGTCTGTGCTATTTTTAAATCAGCAAGTCAAGGACAGAGTGCTTGGAAAAGCCACTGCCGAAAATATGGCCGGCACCTGCCGCTAACGGGGCGATCAGAGACAGCCGTGCTGAGCTCCCAACTCGGAGAGCCCGGGCGAGTGGTGGTAAGGATGGTGTGCACCCGAACGTGTCATACATGTTTGCAGAACATGGGGTAAGGCCGTGTTAGCTAACACTACGTGGAAATCGTGGGGGAACGTGGTACTCCACACTCAGAGTGCCCCCAGATGGACGGTGTGTGCGACTGTCAGCCAAGGTCACTTAGGAGGGCTGGACTGGAGCAACAGCGAAGTCCAAGCACCGCCCAGGACACCTGGCTCCACCCTCTGGGTTAAAGACTCCCACCCACAAGCACAGGAGGAGAGGTCCCGGAGTCAGGACCAGGAAATGCCATTCACTGGCAGGGGACAGAAAAGAAGGGGCCTCAGGGATCCTTTGGCAGATGTGAGAGTAAGCCACGTGAGATCGTGGGAGAGCCACCTACCTCTCTTAGAGTCCTGATGCTCCCTGTGGATCTTCTGTGGGTAAAGAGTGTGCCAGGATCCCTGGGGGCCAGGCAAATGGTAGGGGGCCAATCAGGGAACTCGTCCAGCCTCCTGAGCCCTCCCAGAAAATGGATGCCAGGCATGCATCACACCACATCTGCCCTCATGGCATCTCCTCGGCCAGCGCGCACTTACCTGCGTCTCCTCGGCCGGCCAGCCGTGTACCTGCGTCTCCTCGGCCAGCGCCCACCTACCTGCGTCTCCTCGGCCGGCGCCCACCTTCCTGCGTCTCCTCGGCCAGCACCCGTGTACCTGCGTCTCTTCGGCCAGTGCCCATCTTCCTGGCATCTCCCCCTATGTTACGGTCTTTTTAAACGTTATCACAATAAAGCCATGAATTTAATATGACATGCGAAAGCCCACTGCTGCACACCTTGCCTGCTTGTGTTTTCACCTGTGTGGTTGTTTCCCCACCATCATTTTCTAAAATATTTTTTCACTGAAACATCAACCTGAACAAAGGAAGGTGAGGCAGAGCAAGTGAAGCAGGAGATTTTAGTTGAGCAAGGTCAGGACGGTCGCCCTGCACCCGGGTTGCCCCGAGTAACGAGGTCAGGACGGTCGCCCTGCACCCGGGTTGCCCCAGGGAACGTGCCCCAGCGTCAGGGACTCAGGACCATTCAAGGCAGTCAGGAGTGGGGGAGTCGGGCGTCCTGTGCCGCAGTGACAGGTGTCATTCTGTGATACGGGCAGGACACCTCGGGACCACCGAGCCGCTTTGTCTCATCTCAGCAGAGCGAGTCTGGAAGGCGAAGGAGGGATGCGTTCTATTTGGGCAAAAGCGATGTCCAGAAAACAAAGCGCCTGGCCTCTGAAGCTGCCCCAGGCACGTATTCCCAAGAACACCACCAGACGCGCGGGTCTTAGATCCGCCAGCTTCCTGAAAGCTTGACGACGTAACATTTGGCAGAAGTGACTCCATTTGCCATGTCTGTTGAGCCTGGAGCAGGAACTTAGTCCCAAACGATGGCCTCCCTGAGTTTCACTTCACAGAATTGCAGTTTACGGGAGACGCACAGGTTCCCAGTAGATGCACGTGTCCGTGCAAACACCACAGGGTCTGACAGCAGTGAACACGCACATACGGTGTGACCAGCTCCTCCTGGATTTAAAACCGGAAGTCCCTTGTCCCGGGAAGCTCCTTATTCCCGGGTAAACCGAGACTGCTGCTCACCGTAACAACGGCCACCTCACTGAGCGCCAGGGCGTTTCCGTCATACCCACGGTGTCCTAGTGCCCCTTATTCAACACACCTTCATCCAAAGGCCACTGTTCTGATTCTTTTTTTTTCCAGGTTTTTGTTATAGGTTTTTGCTCATTGGGGGAGAAACAGAGACAGCAAGAGACAGAGACTGTTTTAATTCTTTTTTTTTTTTTTTTCAGGTTTTTGTTATAGGGTGCATATGCTCATTGGGGGAGAAACAGAGACAGCAAGAGACAGAGAGAGTAAAAGTGAGAAACCATCCCTGGGGAGATGGCCCCACTGCAATCCCTTGTCCTCCAATCTCTTGGGATCTGGGGCGTGCGCACGCATGTTCCTAGTGTGATTTTCAAATCAGTAGGTCTGGGACTCAAACTGCAGTCGGCCATATGGGAATCCAGTGCATTAACCACCACATCACCTGCTGGTCCTGTTCTGATTTTTATCATGATAACTTAGTTTTCCTTGTTCTAGACTTAAATGTAAGTAGAATCATTCAATATGTACATTTCTGTGTCTGGGTCCTCTTATTCATTCAGGTCGTTTTATTACCGAGTAGCTTTACATTTGTAACTATAATTTGCTTAACTATTCACCCCTTAATGGACATTGGGTGGTTTTCAACTTCTCGCTGTTAAGAACCAAACTTCCACACACATTCCCACGCAAGCCTTTCTGGGCCACGTCTTCTTTCTCTTGAATGAATACCTAGGAGTCTAATGACGGGACCATACGCTAGGCTGTGCTCCTAAGAAACTCGCACGACATCCCAGAGTGGCTGTCCACCTGTACATCCCCACCAGGGAGGTGCTCACAGGAGCCCCAGCTGCTCGACACCCTCACCAACATTTGGTCCTGTCAGTCCTCGGAACTGCCGACGTGCCCCGGCTGCAAGGTGGGCGCTCTGCGCGTCCCTGATGAGGAAGACGGGCAGCGCATCCGTGGTTACTTTTTGCCATTTGGATGACCCCATTGTCTAAATAGCTTGTTTACGTTTTTATTATTGCAGAAAGTCTTTATATATTCAGGGTACAGGTACTCTACCACATCTATGTATCGCGGAGATTTTCTCTCGGCCTGCGACTTGTATCTTCATTTTCATAATAGAGCTTTTAGATAGGCAGAATTTTTTTAATGTTGATGAAATATCATTTATCAGTTCTGTATATTAAGATTCATGCTTTTGGGGCCAGCGGGTGGCGTGGTGGTTAAGGGCGCTAGACTCCCACATGGCAGACTGCGGTTCAAGCCCCTGGACCTGGCGGCTTACTTTCGTTTTTTTGGAGAGGTTTCTTTTTTTTTTTTTTTTCTGCTATAGAGCACGTGCACTCACCAGACAGACAGAGAGAAACAGAGAGACAGAAAGTGAGAAATCATCCCCCAGGGGGGATGGCCACGCCTCAATCCTTTCTCCTCCATTCTCCTTTCGGGATCTCGGGCACGC